CATAAAATTTTTATCATTCTCACACCCACAACCAACTCATGATTCTTTCCTTCAGCTGATAAACTCTATTTCACTGTGGAGTAAGAGAAAGGTTATTAGGCTGGAAGTTTGCGCATCAGGGGAAAAGATGTTCCCAGTTAATTCTATCCACAATGAACCCTGCCCACCCAGGTTCTGGATCTCGGCATTTCATACCACCTCCCAAAAAAAGGTGTTAAGCTTGGTTCTATTTTCTCCTCTCTTTTCAGCATTCCTTGTCCTGTCATCACAGCTCTGCTACAAGCCCTTCCCTATACATAGTTTGTCGAGCCTGTTAGACTCTAGACACCATCTCCCTTATCGTCAAGATTCTGCCAAGAGTAGTCAATATTTGCTGTCACTATTTCCTCACTATCCCAGCTCTCTTTAATGGGCTACAATCTAGTATCTTGCTCCCATCAGTCTACTAAAACTAAGCTTAAGTGACAATTCTTAGTCACTTTTTATAGTCATTATCTTAATTGACTTCTGTGACATTTAATTCTACTCCTTATTCTCCTCTCTTTCTCCTCTTTTTCCTCCTACTGTCTACCTCCTTACCACACTACTAGTCTTACTCTAGCACACTTACCTCGCCTGCTAACATTTCCCAGCATTACACGCACTATCAAGATGAGTTCACCCACAGAAGCAGTTTTTTTTCTTTTAGGTCCCAGGACTCCTCTACAAACTCTTAAAACTGTCAAGGATGCCTCAGAGCTTTTATTTGCATAGGCTATAACTATCAACATTTACTATTCTAGATGTTAAAACTAAAGAAGTTTTGAAAAAAAATATCCAAGTACACAATTCGTAAGTCAGGGTGATGATGTCATCATGTGTCATTACAGACTGGAAATTTTCACTGTAAACTCTAGAGAAAATGAAAGTTAAAAAGCCAGATATGTCTTAGCATTATTGTAAAAAAAGGGGGGGGGCAAATAATGCCTTAGCACTACTATAAATATTGTTTTGACCCTGGGAAACCCCTGAAAGACTCTCAGAGACCCATCCCCAGGAATCCTATGACCACTCAAAGTGGTCACCTGTGCCAAAAACTCCTCTAAGTCTTCATCTCTAACCTGACCTCTTTCCTGAGCTCCAGATTAACTCCTACTGCCTATCTGAAGTACCATCTTCATTTGGTCAATTCACAGATGTTCAAACTCAGTGTTGTCCAGAATTTAATTATCGTCTATGCCAAACCTATGTTTCTTCCTTCTGTGTTGTCTATTTTGGTCAAAGGCACTAACATTCACCTAAAGCTAGATACCTTTAAATAATCCTAGGCTCTTCCCTTTCCTCCTTTACCTTCAGTCAGTCATCAAACCATACTGATTCTACTTTTATAATCTAGGCAAATCCGAGAGCTTGTTAGAAATGCAAACTCCCATCCCAGATCTATAGACAAAAGGAAATGTTGGTAAATCACTTGCACACTGAAGTCTGAGAAGCATGGGCCTGGGGAGTAATACCAATAACCAAAGTTTGAGAATCTGAAGGAGAAGGCAGAGCCCAAAAGGTAAACTTGAGAACACTTTAATTAGAACCCTGCCCACCTGAAGTTTTCCTCCTAATATTAAACTGTGGAAGTTGGGAGTTTTGTAAAGGAGACAATATTCCTTAACTAAATGATTTTCCCAACTTGGCTTTCATTCCCTCCAATTTTATCCTCTACACTACAAACTGGGGGAGCCTATTCATCTCTACTTTGCCTTCTGTTCCTCCTGTTTAAATGGCTCTCCATTATCTAGACAACAGTCCAAATTCCTTACTACGAAGTACAAGGGCTTTCAAACCCTGACTCCTACCTATCTTTCACCATTCTTGCATAGCCTACCTATTCCAGATGTCTTCAAACCAGCAGGCAGCTTGGTATGTTTTTTAAGCCTCTCAGGTGATCTAAAAGTGCACTAAGGGTTGAGAATCACTGCCTCATGTCTTGAACAGAACTACCTGCCATGCTTCCAAGCAAAAGCAAAAGCGTATCCTAGCCTTTCTGCCTGTCTTCTTCTCGTACTTTACCCTTGTCTTCTGGGATGAATTCACAGCCTTTCTAACAACTCAACTATCCTCTCTCCTTTAAAGGAAGACTTCACTTTTCTCCCCCCGCTTCTCCCCAGCAAAGATGGAATTAGGGGTTTCTTGCTCTTTGCTCCCATAGTACCTTGTGCTTACATCTATTTTAGCATAGTCTACACTGTTTATGAAGCAGTTTGTCTGTCCTACTAGACAATGATCTCATGTGAAGGTAGGGATTGCATTGTATTCATTTTTTTAAATTCTCTTTGCTTGGGCACAGAGGCTAGAAGATAACACATATGTATTTTTTTCTTACTGAAAACACAGTAAATTTTTGGAACATACTGAACAGACCTAGAATGATGTAAAATGAAGCAAAAACAAGACTGACACCTTCCTACCAACTAGGCAGTTTCATTAACAAAGGAAAAAACCTTTCTGTTCTACAATTCTACATTTAGAAATAAAAGGCAAATCCATGTAAGAATTCATATACAAACTGAAATGAAAAATTTCAGTTGAAGTAGATTCAAATGAGTTTAACAGTGAATATCAGATGCTTTTCAGTTTTAAAAGTAAAAAGCTAGAAAACAGAGGAGTTCTGGGTGTCTGAAAGAGTACTGGGTGGGAGGAAAATGCCCAACTGAAGAAACAAAAGCTGAAGATATGCATATTTTTTATATTAAAATGTGGAAATAAATACCAGGAAGAAGAGCTGAAAGAATCAAGAGTGAGGTGGAGAGAAAAGCTATTTTTATTAAATAAACCTTCAGTACTATTTTTCATATAAACAAAAACTATTATTTAAGAAAATGTAATGGATCAGGGGACGGAGTACCAAAAGAATAAAATGACATCAGAGAACAATACTACATAAACTTTACTACTGGTGCACCAGGAAAAAAAGTAGTACTTGACCCTATAATTGTTTATGCCCAACAACTTCACATAATGATTGACAAACACCTATATTTTGAGGTGTGTAAAATTTCACCCCAAGGAAATTTGTTAAAGTATCTAGTATAGAAATAAAACCTGAAAATCATTTTCCAGATAAAGTAGCTTCTTAAATGATAAGACAAAAAAAATTGCTTCTTCAAATCTTAAGGAAAATGTATAAGCTGTAGTCATTTCCAAAATACTGTGCAACTTAACAATTTGTAAAAATTCCTGATACTGAACACAGACCAGCAAAAGCCCCCAAATTTTTAAGATTTTCTATAAATGCCTCAAATGCCAAAATTTCTATACAAATTAAGCTAAGTATATGCAATGCTTAACCGAATTGTTCTTCACTGTAAATTACAGTATGGTCTTAAAAAAATTTTTTTTTAACTAAAAATACAGTCAAAAGTGATTCTTGGAATTCTTTAAAGGGAAGTGGTACTTTCTTATAGACTGATTCCTTTGAAAAAATTAAATGCTGCATCTACAGCTTATATTGGGAGACTATAAAAAACACAGAAATACCTGTTACAGATGATCTTTTACTATGTTTTGCTATAAAAAAATCTGTCAAAAACATCAGATTTGGTGAAGAGAAAAGGGAAATATCTAAAATTATTTTATTGCCCTTCATAACATAACAGCCTATGAAAGGAAAGGCATGTGAAATTACTAAATAGACCAAAATCTGGAAATATCAAGAAATGTTCCAAAGTCCAGGAGATATAAAGTGAAAACATTCTTGATATAGTTTCTAAAAAGCTGTACTTTGACTAAATCTAAACCTACAATTTTTAAGGACTTAATATAAGTGTGCTAATTTGAAAAAAAAACTAAACTGTGATAATCTTGGTACTACAGGGGCTACTAACGCTTACCTCAAGGGAACCTACTGGAGATAAAGTCCCGTCACTTGCACAGTCCTTTCAGCTGCCTGCCAGTTGTCTCTGTGGAAGGGAAAGCCTGATGAGTGAAAACCCTATGCCACACTCCTTTGGAGTGTCAGGGTGCCTGCACAGTACTGCACAAAACTGTCTACCTAGAGAGATTCCTAGATGCTTTCAATAACAGAGGACTTAAAAAAATGCCACCTTTGATATTCTCTTTCCACTGAACACCAAAACCAAATGGCTAAGAGTTACTGAATGCTAATGACCTACTGGTGTTATCAAGGGGATATATCTATACTAACCCAAGTAGAAAAAAGACCAAAATGGATCAAAGAGAAATAAGTTAACACTGAAGGGAAAACACACACACACACACACACACGCACGCACGCATGCATTGAAAAGTAACAGAAGACACACACACACACACACACACTATTGTAAGGTTGTAGCCACAAAAAGTGATGTTACAGCATCAAGTGAATGCTAAAACCCAAAGAACTTCCTGTATACATACTTCAAACAGATGCCATCAAGTGTATCATGCTCAATGTTAACTGCACCATGGATCTAAATACCTACTTGTAAAATTCCATGTATGTTCTTAGTGGGGTTGGTAAGTGGGTGGGAGGAGAGAGGATTTTCCAGATATTCTTAAATATGAAAAATGAAAACGAACAGCATGAAATTCAACAAATTTCAAAAAGAAAAAAATGTATTATCTATATCTCAGGAAGTAAACAAACCCTTACTCAGAACCAAACTAAGAGGGAAGTATAACAAAAAATAAGAGAAAACTGTAAAAACAGTTCAAAAACCACTTTCGCCTACTAGAATTATGAATGGCTAGTAACTATCTTCCATTAAGAACATCTATACCACTAATGTAGAAGTTCAACTACGTCACCAAAGAAACTATATTTTCTTCTTTCTAATGCCACATGTCTTCAGTCTGAATACTGTGCTTCATAAGGCAGAACAAAATGTTCCTACCAGAAACTTTAGCATTAACCTTTACCACAAGGATTGCTGGGGGGATTGGGAGAGGAGGAAAAACTATTAAAAGCAAAAAGGTGATTCCAGCTTTTACTTTAATAGCACCATATTTAAAATGAAGTTACTTACCTCAGATTCTTTGTCACTTAAAGATCCCAAGCTTCCAAAACTGTGATTAGAACTTTCATTATTTGTTGAGGCCTGTTAAAAATTTTTAAAAAGGTAAAAATTAGGAGTAATTTTAAATGAAACATACTACAAGGTAAACAATCTATATTCATAAATGAAAATAAAGTATGATTCCTTTAAGCGAGGAAGTTAAATGAAGTAAAAATAAGAAATATCAGAGTGCATGGGTGACAGAGTCAGTTAAGTGATGAACTCTTGGTTTCGGCTCAGGTCCTGATGTCAGGGTCATAAGATCAAGCCCTGTGTCAGGCTCTGTGCTCAGCCCAGTGTCTGCTTGAGATTCTCTCTGCCTTTCCCTCTGCCCCTCTTGTGTGTGCTCTAAAATAAATAAATAAATTTTAAAAAATAAGAAATATCAATTTCTTAACACTTCAAATATCTTGGAAAGTTTTACCAAATCAATAAAGATCTGTGTTTCAGGAACTGAGTTGTTTTAACTGATTTTTTAGAATACCAAATTGAGAAGCAAAGGAACTGGGCTATTACCAGGATAACAAGATCCCTAAAATTACAACCCAATATAGAAAAACTGATGCTTCCTTTAACCAAAAGTATTATTTATGCTCCTTAATTCCCTTCACAATCTTATCAAATTCCATCATATCCCATCCACACCCCTCTGCCTCTCTTTATAGTAACAAACTGGACAACCCCTGGTTTTTTGTTTGTTTTGGTTTAGTCTTTCAAGAAAATCTTTTGCCATCTCTACCATTTTAACTGCTTCACCCAAGAGTTTCTACATTTCCTTTATATTATTTTTAGACAGTGACAAAGAGAAATGAGCTATCATTTTGTAGGATAACATCAGCTGTTTCCAACATGTTTCTATGATGCTCATTATTTTGTAGACTTTTTGGACCATCAGTACACTAAATCAATGTCTCCCAGTAATGTTTAGATCAGAGGATGACAGGCTATGGCATCAAAGACGATGCATGAATGACCTTCGTGTACAGGCAGGCCACCTGATATCCCTGTTTTCCTGCAACCTAAGAGTAGGTGCTACCACCAGGTATTTACCCCGAAGATACAAATGTAGTGATCCAAAGGGGCATCTGCACCCCAATGTTTATAGTAGCAATGTCCACAACAGCCCAACTATGGAAAAGAGCTCAGATGTCCATCGAAAGATGAACGGATAAAGAAGATGTGTGTGTGTGTGTGTGTGTGTATACACACACCCATACATATATACATACGCAATAGAATACTACTCAGTCATCAAAAAAAATGAAATCTTGCCATTTGGAACGACGTGGATGGAACTAGAGGATATTAAAAAAAAAGTGAAATAGTCATCAGAGAAAGACAATTATCAAACAATCTCACTCATATATGGAATTTAAGAAACAAAACAAAGGATGATAGGGGAAGGGAGGGAAAATAAAACAAGACGAAATCAGAGGGAAACAAACCATAAGAGACTCTTAATCATAGGAAACAAATTGAGGGTTGCTGGACGGGAGGTGAGTGGGGGGATGGGGTAACTGAGTGATGGACATTAAGGCAGGAACGTGATATAATGACCAATGGGTGTTATATAAGACTGATGAATCACTGATCTCTACCCCTGAAACTAATAATGCATTATGTGTTAATTAATTGAATTTAAATTTAAAAAACAAACAAAAAAATAAAAGTTCTGGAATAGGGGGAAAAAAGATAAGAGTAAGTGCTAATCAAAAAAATAAAAGGTTGGAAGCTGGCCTACAATTACCCTTAGGCTAACTTCTAAACTGATGACTCTGAGTCATTAAATACATGTCTAGTACTATGCTGGACAACTGTAAAGGCTGTTTTCAACATAAACCAGCACTTGAACTGATTAATATTCGAGCACTATCTAGAGGAAGGTATAATCTAATTAGAGCAAGATTATCAAACTTGAAACAAAACAAACCATAAACAGCAATTAACAAGTGGTAAATTAGATTCAGGGACAACAGAGGCCACGCCAACGTTTTTGAGCATCCCTAAATCCTGAGATAAAAATACAAACCCCAAACCAACAGACAACATTTACAACAAAACTGGCTGACAAGGAATCTCCATGAGTTCCCCCCAAATAGCAGGTGGAGACAAATCACCAATAACCACAGGACCTGTGTCATATGAAAGGAAGCAAAAGGAAACAGACTATCTGTCAGATCTGAGAACAGAGACAGTGAAAATAGCAATTTGAGTACAAAAGCTCTAACTCGAAGGGTTTCTCCTTTCAAATAATGATTTAGTATAGGAGGTCCATGGTGAACTCTGAAGAAGTTGGAGCAATCTAGCCTCGATGAACTTGTAAAACAACCCTGACTAAGGGTATCACAATGAGGATAAACTACTCGGTGTGGGATCAAAATTAAGCACAATTGGTACAATGAAGATAAAGGAAAGAGAATATTCAGATAAAAGGAAGAAAGGGAGCAAAGCCTAGAAATTTCAGAAAGCAAATGCCACGCTTCTGAAGAGTGCCCTAAAACAATATCAGAAGGAGCTCTGTAAGAAAAGACATTCTAAACCACAAAAATGTACACAACAGAAAATGATTAGGTCAATCCCATGAAGTTATTATAAGGAGAGAAAAAAAGAAGAAAAAGAAAATATGGAATAACATCCTAATAATGAAACCACACCAAGAACACATACCCACAAAATAGGAGAAAACTGTAACCTACTATTTTAAAATGAGCTAAAAAACATTACAAAAATGACTCAAGACATGAAAGAACAACATAAACCAAATTTCAAAAAACTCAGGGTTAGGTTAACAGAACTCAGGAAAACATCAGAAATAGGGAGGAAAAAAAGTTTCAGAAATGAAGACTAAGCCTGAATGAACTTGAGAGAAAACACATACAACATATATCCATTGAACATTTAACCAAATAAAGGGATAAAAGAGAAGGAAACAACTAATGAAGCAATAAAAATTCAACATTCAAGTAAAAGAGATCTTTAAAGAGCACTACCATAAGAAAATAGTAAAAACTATAATGCAAGAAAATGCCCTTGAAAATTGAAAAAGTTTTTTTGAAACTGCTGACTGAAAAAGCATGACATACACCTAATATCAACCCAGTTTTTTTACATCAAACTTTTCCAAGGCAACACTATATACCAGAAGAAAATAGAGTAATATATTTAAGATACTCAAGAAAATATAAATGAAGTGTTTTATATTCAGTAAAATTGCTCTTGAACACATAGAAGGCACAGATAAACTGTTATCAAAATGCTGGAGATCAGGAGAGAAAAATGAGCAGAAAAAATATTTGAAGAAATAATAGCCTGAAAATTCTAATATTTGGTTAAAGACATAAATTTACAGATTGAAGCAGCTCAATGATTCCTCCAAGCAGAAGTACAAAGAAAACCATATCTAAGTACAATACAATAACACCTCACACCTAATAGAATTGCTATTATTTAAAAGATAAAAAATAGGGTGTTGGCGAGGATGTGGAGAAAAGGGACCCCCTGGCCACTGTTGGCGAGAATGTATACTGGTACAGCCACTGTGGAAAACAACATAGAGTAGGGTACCTGGCTGGCTCAGTTGGTGGAGCACGTGGCTCTAGATTTCGGGGGCATGAGCTGGAGCCCCATGCTGGGTATAGAGATTACTTAAATAAACTTAAAAAAAAAAAACAGTATGGACGTTCCTCAAAAATATCAAAAATACAATTACCATATGACCCAGCAATTCCACTTCCAGGTATTCATCCAAAGAAAATCAAACACTAATTCAAAAAGATATCTGCAGCCTATGTTCACTACAGCATTATTTACAATAGCCAAGACACGGAAGCAACGTAAGTGTCCATCAATGGAGGACTGGATAAAGAAAATGTGGGATACATATATACAAGGGAATATTAGCCATAAAAAAAGAAGGAAATCTTACCATTTGCAACAACATGGATGGACCCCGACTGCACTATACTAGATGAAATAAGTCAGACAAAGAAAGACAAAAGTTTATTATCTCACTTATATGTGGAATCTTAAAAACAAACAAAGAAAACAAAACCCAAGCACACAGCCACAGAGAATAGATTAGCAGTTGCCAGAAGCAGGGGGATGGGGTGGGTAAAATGGATAAAAGAAGTCAAAAGATACAAACTTCCAGTTATAACATAAATAACTGCTGGGATAACATAAATAAGTCACAGTATGGTGACTATAGTTAATAATACTATATTGCATGTATGAAAACTAAGAGATTAAATCTTAAAAGTTCTCATCACAGGAAAAAAATTTTAACTGTGTGATGACATATTCACTAGACTTACTGTGGTGATCATTTTGCAATATATACAAAAATATGGAATTATGTTGTACACACGAAACTAATAATAATGTTACATGGCAATTACATATCAATAAAAAACTAATCCATTAAAAATTTTTAAAAAGAAAAAAATTTGGGGGCACCCGAACAGCTCAGTTGGTGGACTGTACAATTCCTGATCTCAAGGTTGTGAGTTCAAGCCCCCTGTTAGCTGTAGAGATTACTTAAAAATAAAATCTTTTAGAAAAATACATAAAAAGAAAGAAAAAGAAAAAAATCTTGAAAGCCATCAGAGAAAGAGAACATATTCTATATGTAATGACAAAAAAGGATATGACTAACTACTATATTGTCATCAAAATTATTACAAGCCAGATTTAATCTCTGGAAATGTGAGACAGAACTATGGATTGAGGCACGTAAGGCACAGTGAGGAAACAGAAGGTATTAAAAGCAAGTCTACACACTAACTGAAGAGACCCTTAGACCCCTTTCCATGCTCAATTCTAGACAGTACCCAAACTTATACTCCACAGACAAAAAACTATATAATTTCTCTCTAGGAAAACAGAGCATCTCAAGATACAAGACTTACAGATAGGAGGAATCGAAAATCTCTCAGAAAAATGACCCAGCCATGTCACCTTATGCAAAACCTATTGGTCAGTAAGCCGTACCTACTCATACAAAGCTTCCAATAAGTGTTCAGTGCCTAATGCATGTATATCAA